ATGTCGTTTCGTTTCCGAAGAGAAGCTTTTTAGACACAGCCCTCCTCGACTGAGAGCCGGTCAGGTGTGTGACTACAACTCCCAACACGCCTCAGGCACGGAGGGAGCAGCGCCCATCTGCAGAATTCTACTCCGCCTTCTTCCTCCCGGAGGGGGGGGCGGTCCCGAGGTCGTTTCCGAAGAGAAGCTTTTTAGACACAGCCCTCCTCGACTGAGAGCCGGTCAGGTGTGTGACTACAACTCCCAACACGCCTCAGGCACGGAGGGAGCAGCGCCCATCTTGGCTGCAGAATTCTGAGAGCTGTAGTCCAAAAGCGTGACTCTGAAGGAGACGTTGGTGGTCGCCTCGTTCTTCCTGCTCCTGGGTATCATTTCTTCTAGATTAGCTCCAGACACCAAACAGCAGCGCGCTTGGTTTCGGAGAGACGGATCGTTTTTGTGTTTGCTGCTTCTTCCACCTTTCCGACCCTGGAGTCAGGCTCGAATTTGTGGATTTGAATCCCTGCGCGCCATCCAAACTCCGTCCCTGCATTTCAGACAGCTTCTGGCTCTTTCTCACTCTCCCAGGGCGCAGCTGTGACTTGCAGGCGGAGCCCCCCCCCCAGCAGCAGCTGCGCCTCCAGATGTGTCGGAGGGAGGGAGGGCGGTGCTTTACGGGAGGGGCCATGCAGATCATCCCAGCTTGGTCCCACCTCCTTCACACAGCTTGCCTCCGGATTCCGGTCCAGCTGCCGAGCTGGGGAGGCCTTTGACAGAATCACTTGACACGCTGTTTCGGGGGTGGGGGAGAGACAACAAACATAGCCAGACAGGGGTGGGCTTGCTGGAGGAGGTCGGTCGAGCGCTTTTCTCAACACAGCCTTCTTACAAGACAGCCTTCTTACCTTCTTACAACGGTTGAAAAACAGCGCTTTTTATCTGGAATGATGACAGTATGATGACTCACCAGGTTCTCTAGTTGTATCCTGCTACAGAACCTGGGAAGTCATCATATTGTCATACACAGCATAACTACAGTATACTATCGCAGAGTTAGACCATATACTGGACTTTACGGTAATAAACGTAGTAAGTATCGCAGACTCGGACGGCTACGTCTTCTGCGACTTTGACAAGCCATCAGGAAGGATGCGAGCCTAGGCAGGCAGCGATGAGCTGGCTGGAGGAAATCGGTCGCTGTGAGCTGCCACACCCGGGAGGCGGAGGTATCATTTCTATAGCTGCTGTTACTGCAGGCAGAGCCCCTCCCCAGCAGCAGCTCCGCCTCCAGATGTGTCGAGGGGAGGGCGGTGCTTTACGGGAGGGGCCATGCAGATCATCCCAGCTTGATCCCACCTCCTTCACACAGCTTGCCTCCGGATTCCGGTCCAGATGCCGAGCTGGGGAGGCCTTTGACAGAACCACTTGACACGCTGTTTCGGGGGTGGGGGGAGAGACAACCAGCATAGCCAGGCAGCGGTGGGCTTGCTGGAGGAGGTCGGTCACCGTGAGCTGCCGAGGCGTGCTGGGGGGCCAGGCCCGGGAGGCGGAGGTTTGTCCGGTTAAGACTATACTTTCAGGGATCATTTCTATAGTCCGCTACTAGAGAAGTGCATCCGAAAGTGAACGGCCGAGCGAACCACGAGGAGGAGGCAAAGTGTTCTCTTCTGAGCGCGAAGCTGGCGGGCGATGCTGCTTCCCAGCGGCTGTCGCCTGCCCTTGATGACCGTTCCGCCTCCTCCTCGCGAGGAGGCCGGAGGGAGAGAACACAGGCTGAGTGGTTCGTTCGCCATCCCCCCCGTTTTTTTACAGTAGTTGAAAAATAGTTATTTTAATCATAAGGCAGTCTGGGTAGTTATCGTCTTCTGTTGTTTAAAACTTGGTGGGTTTTTCTGTTGTTTAAAACATGGAGGAAAAAGTTCAGGGTTTTTTTGGGGGGGTAAGCCACCCCTGGTAGGTGGGTGCAAATATCTGTGTGCCATCCTTTTAATGATGGTTGAAAAATAAGATACTGTACAGTAATTGAAATAGATCGGGAGTCTTCTCTAGGTCCAGTTGCACAGTGATGTTAAACCGCTTAAGTAGAGACCCCACTGTAATTGAAATAGATTGGGAGTCTTCTCTATGTCCAGTTGCACAGTGATGTTAAAACCGATCTGGACAGGGAGAGATCATCTTGCAAAACATTTGAGTGCTTTTCCTGCCATTGCCATATTATTTTCGTTTTAGGTGGATAGGATGTTAGGCTGATGTTTTTGATTTTAATTTAATCATCTTCATCTCCATCTCTGCAGAGGAGAGCACACCACTTGTTCCCTTATGTTGTGTTGTCTGTTGATTCTTTATATGTTTCATTGTGGATTTTGCTCTTCTCTGACCTGTGATTGTCCTGGGTGTGTTTCTGCGCCACCTAGAAAGTGCTTGATTGCTCTAACAATTAAATAAATAGTTAAATAAATAAAGCAAATAAATTAATAGTTTTAGTTTTACTTTTTTGCTATTGTTTCATGGGTTTCCATTTAAAGTGTGTGGCCGGTTAATTTCATGTTCAGTGGCATCTAGGGTGTATTTAATCCTAACCTTTATTTGATCTTCTTTCCTAATGGGCACAGTAAATGGTTGTCCAATGTCCCTCCGTTCCTCGTGACCTACAAGGGTCATGACTTGTCTTTCCTTCTCCCCAACACTCAGGAGTCACTCTATGGGGGAAGAATTGCAGAGTGTTTTTTCTGTTAAGCAGTGGTTTGGTTTCAGATACGTTTTGGGTTACCTTTTTACTCCTTAGTTCCTTCCAGGATCTCAGGGTATGTGGCTCTCCTCTTCCCCCTTTGATTCTCAGAACAAACCTGTGAGAGGTAGGTCAGGCCGAGAAGAGGCAGCTCTCCCAGGGCCACCAAGGAGTTGTGTACTGTACAAAGTTTCCATCTCTGAAACAAAGCGGAACGAGAGAGCCCTCCATTCTATGAAACGGGGGAATAAAATCTATTCACCTTTAGGAAGACACAATACAGTATACTGTATTCCTCGCAGGTCGTTTAGTGAGTTTCATGACCCTGCGGGGTTTACTAGAACTCAGCTCTCCAAATTTCTGTCTGGCGCTCGCTTGTTCCACACACTTCGGGTTTTTCAACCTTTCATTGTTTTTCTTACCACAGATGGCATGTGTTTGCCACTAGTTTTGTTCTGATGTGTTCTTATTTATATATTGGTACTCGCAGAGCTAATTTCTGGCTCTTTACACTACCTCGTAGAAGGCATCGCAGATGTGAGACATTGGGGATTTTTAAAAGTTTCATAGTTTTCCTAAACGTGATATCCTCCTTTCAGTTCTGTTCCAGTTTCTGCCAGCATGTTTCAAGTTCTGAAACTCCATTATGAAACTTTTAAAAACTTCATGGTATCCTTGTGCTCATGTTTGAGGTATGCCTCATCTTTTCAATGGGGCTTATACATCCTAAAAACAGAGTGGAAAAAAACAACAGACTGATTTAAATGTTAAAAAATGATTTTTTAAAAATTTAAATAATCCCCCCCAAAATCCAGATTTTACTTTAAATTGTGATCTAAATCTATATATAAAATTAAGCACCAGTTCAGAAAGCATTAAGAAAAACAAACCATAAAGCTCTCTGCAGGAGCGTCTCTATTTAGATGCCAACGCTTCTCCCCCCCCCCTTTTTTTTTATTGCTTCTTGTAGGGATCTCTGCAGACACCATCAATTCCTTAGGCCAGACACCTTTATTCACAGCCTCTTTGCTTGGTCTGGGGAAGCTTGTTGACATCCTCCTGGATTACGGTTCGGACCCAAACCAGTAAGTGTCAGGCTGCTCGCTTTGTTTTACTGTTCTAGGCTTCCATATGCACAGGCACGTCTTCCAGGCCAGGGTGCCTTTTGTCCCAGCAACCTCTACAATGAACATTTGTCTGTAGTGACCCACTTGCCAGTAAGGGGAGTGACAGGACAGTGAACCTGGCTGAAAGGCCACCTGCTGTCCCTCAGGGGTTACCTTTTCAATACCGTCTCACCTGGCTGCAGTAGAGGCTGAGATGAGACGGCCCATCAGCTTGGTTCATCTCTCTCCTGAACTGCCTCTATTTAAGGTTAGCCACACAATCTTTAAGGCTGGTGCACAGAGTCACCTGTTTTCCTCTTCCCTCCTCACCCATTTTTCTTTCTATGCTGTGTATTTTAGACTAATTTTGATGGGCAAGGCCTGTCTTGTTTACAAGCAGATTTTAGGTGCTTCGGAAGGAACAAAACAGAACAGTAATGTGGCATATATCTCTAATAAATTATTTTCATCTTTTGACGAACCTTTTTCTTCTAAGACATTTTTTCAGCCGCTCTGTCTTGCAAAGTGGGATATAAACAAACTTACTGGGGAAAGGAATACGCTGTGTGAAAAATATTAACCACGTCTTTTCTCTCATCTCACTCCTTATTTTCTCAGCCGCTGTTACGATGGGAGCACTCCGGTCCACGCTGCAGCCTTCTCTGGTGACCAGTTGATTCTCAGCAAATTGCTGGATGCTGGTGGAGACCTTAGAGTCCATGATAAAAATGGGAAGAACCCACAAAGCTGGGCTGTGGAAGCTGGAAAGGAAGTCGCTTCTCAGGTGCCGTTTGGGTGTCTTTGGCTGAGCAGGAAGGTGACCCGGGAAACTTGTTTTTCGTTGGCTGATGTTCCAGCACTCAGGGGCAAATTCATTTTATAGCCACCGCACACGTGACATTCGCATTTCCTCACAATAAATCATAAGAGAAAATGGTGCCCACAGTTAATTAGAAATGGGTGTTTCCCACCTAAAACCATGATTACTCTATTAACTTTTGTCAGAGCAGCGTTCCCTGAAAAACATCAACCTGTACTGCTTTCTCAAACCATCCTTCTACAGGTTGCTACACCAAGAGAGGCCAGGAAGTTACCTACTGAAACCGATCCTTTTTGGTTGTGGCCCCACCCCAAGGGAAGGAACTTCAGGTGGAACTGCACCTGGCCCCCTCCCTTGCAGCCTTCAAGAGGATGCTCAAGACAAGGCTGTTCACCAGAGCCTTTAAGAGCATCCTCTGTTAATGTGTTATAGACTGGCTATCTTGATGTTTCCCTTTTGGCCATTGCTTTTTTAAAAAAAAAAATTTAGCTGATGGTTTGTTTCATTTGTATATACAGTAGGATCTCCATATCCACGTGATCAGTATCCACTACTTATCAATGTCCTGAAAAGCTGGAATCGTTCCCCCATGGATATGGGGTTCCTACTCTATTTGATGAGGTTTATTAGTATATTATTTTAGATTTGCTTTATGTTTGGTTTACTTTGGATGTAAACCACCCAGCACAAAGGCAGTTTACACGTCCGTGAAATCAATAAATACTTTGTTGTTGTTTTTACGTTGTCCTTTGTGTTTCCAGCCCCTGGCCTCTGAAGCTTACTTTCAAACGCAGAATTTCTTCACAGCTCCACTTGGTTTGACTGCCTCTTCTGTTTCAGATGCTGGAGTTTATCCAGCGCTGCACGGCGCACATGCAGGCTGCAATTCTGAGCGACTCCTTTGATCTGCTTAGGAAGGTGGACTCCCCCAGAACCCTGGTCTGTGGCCAGTCAAAGTTTGGAGGCATCAGTCAAGGGTGAGAGAGCTTTTGGCTGCAGAAGAAGCCAGAGATCATTTCCCCTTTCTCCCATGATATGGCTGGTTTTCCAAGACATAATCACATTAGCCTGCTTCTGTGTAAACAAAATAAAATAAAACTAAGACTGTTGTGGCACTAAATGAGACAAACCACAAACCATCAGGTGCCATGACTGCAAAGCATCGGGGCCCAATCTGATGCATCTTCTTTCCTGGAGGATTTTGGGGTGGTTTCATTCTCTCATGTTCCCCCCCCCCAGCAGCCTCTTTCCTCTGCATCAGGGGCCTTGTGAGAGCCCCCTTGTGCTTTATTTTCTGTCTCACCTTTCAGGACAGCCGATAGCCCCCTAAGAAGGCTCCTGAGACGCGGGAACAGCCCGACCCCAAACATCTACAGCTTCGGCTATGGAAAGGTAAGACAACGGGATCCAGAACACAGACAGTGACTTCCCTGAAGCCAAATATATGGGAGGATTTATTAAAGACGATTCGAGATGGATTAGCAGTTTGCGTGGGAAGCAACTGAAAATAAGTGATTATTTTTAAGCCAATCTAAAATTCAGGAGCCGGCAACTCTCAGGAATGACTCAGAATTGCCACAGTTCCAGCCTTAAAGGTGTTGTCTGGACTCTGACCCAAAGGAAGGGATTAGCAGAAGGGCATTGAGGAGGTTCTGAGCTCACTGATGCTGATCCTGAAAGCTGGAACTGTTGAGCTAGAAGCATCTCAACAGAAGCTCCCTATGGACAGTTCACACACACACCCTACACACAAGCTGATTTCACTCAAAGGACCAGATTCTTCCACAGGGCCCCACCCACACCTTTCTTTCTATCAGTGCAGATAACATAGAAGGTAGGAACTGACCGAGGGGTATCTCAGTAAAAAAATTCCAGGGTAGGTAGCTTTTCCTTTCAGGGCTCTCCATCCTTCAGGTAGAGCCAGTCTGGCCCAAGAGGGATAAAAGGCCTCCGTTGACCCACAAGCCCAGTCACCTTGGAGGCACTCAAGAGTCCGGAGATTCCAGCCCCACTTTCAATCTAAGGATGCCACTCTGGGGCACCTCTTTGTTCAAGAGGTTGATCCCTGGCATCTTCATGGAATGCCTGGGAAAGCGTCCGCTCTGGAGCCCTTCCAACCCACCGCCAGAGAGCAAGCAAGGTGGAACTCGGTGTCTGGCGACTTCTTTCGGTTGGGGTTGGATAACTTCCAGGAAACAAAGACTACCTCCCCCTGGGCTCCAAGCTGCTAAGGTTCTAATGATTTTTCTTGTCCCCTTCCCAAAAGGGTGGGGTTCAAAACCTCCCTTCCGTTGGCAGATGGCCTTGAGACCTGAAAGGGCTGTGACCGACACAGTGGTGTCGCCTCTCAGCACTGGTTGACCTTGAGGGACGAAGGAACGAGGGAAAGGGTGGACAGGGTGGGGGCTTCTGCCTTCTCTCTCCAACTTTGTTACTCTCACTCCATCGTTTAAGTGCAAAAAAAAATAATTGTTTCCTCCCGTGCTTTGTCTCAGTTCTACCTCACGGCCAGCAAACAGCTGGGCTACCTCGCATCGCTACCCATCATTACGGAGAATGAACTGGTTCAGGCGGATGACGAACCAACCTTCTCTTTCCCTGTTGGGCCATACATGATCCTGACCAAGTGAGTGACTACACCAGGGCAGACCCTGGGTTCTGAAGGTGTTATCAGAGTGCCTCAGCGGCCATTTCCTAAGTGAACCCCTGAAACCAGCCCATCAGTTCAGGGACCCTATGGATCACCAAGTTCGGTCTCTGTCAAGGAGGCCCCGTGGGGGAATCAAACTTCCAACCTTTGGCTCCACAGCCAGATGCCCGAACCCCTGAGCTCTCCAGCAGCTCTTGCTTGCTGTGCCCTCATGTCTCAAGTGAACTTCCACCCCAGTCATCCACCGTGTCAGGGGATAAACGTGGGACCTTTGGCCTTACAAAGCATGTCCTCTTGGAGGGAGTTACAGCCCCTCCCATCTAGAATGGCCGTCGACAGCAACTATTGACCTCTCTCATTGCTAGATCCTGGTAACAAACCAGTAGGGATGACTCCTTTACGGGTATGAACCTTTGAAGCTGAGGTGGCTGGCCTGATCCAGAAACCATGGGGGGGTGGGGATCCCTAATTGGCCCAGGAGCCATTGGGCTGTGGAAAGGTGGACTGAAATCACCCTACTGAGACAGCGGAGAAAATGATGGGAATCTGAAGCCGTAGAATATACATGTGATGGTCTGCTTAAATTTTGCAGTGGTGTTTAATTGGGAAAGGAAGAAAGTACATTGTGGCCAGTCCTTTTTGCCAGCCCACCTTTTCTCTTCTCGTAGCCTGATGTGGCGCGGGAGCCAGGTCACGGTGAAGGAGATGAACACGAAGCCCCACCAGCACTGCAGCAAGCTGCGTTTCTCTGACCTGATCCTGGCCGAGCAGGAGCACAGCAGGTACGGAGGGCTGGCCGGCCAGGGGAAACTTTCTTTTCATCAGAAATGCACCGTTCTGAACAGAGTGCATGTTTTCCCTCCCCTTCACACTGATGGGGTTGCTGGTTGATAATACCAGTCGCATAATATTTCCCCAGAGAACTGATTGTATTGACTTCTATGGCATTGGCCGCCTGGTCCTGCTGGCCCATCGCAGCCGGTGCTCGAGGCACGTTCTGCCATTCTGCTCAGGGTAAGAACATTCTTCCTGCCTAGCCCCCATTTCCCCAACACAGACTGGTTTTTCTCTCTCCTCTGCAGCAAACTCCGGCACCCTCATTTGCTCCAGCTGATGGCCGTCTGCTTGTCCAGTGACTTGGTGACAACCCGACTAGTGTTTGAAAGGGTTAACTTTGGCTCGCTGTACAGCATCCTTCACGAGAGGGTAAAGGCGACAGGCGATTTCTTGCTGGTGTTTAGGTTCTGCCTACAGGCGTCAGTGTTTAAGACCGTTTGGATGGCGCTCTTCTTTTATGCCTGCATGCGTAACATCTTTCTCACCCTTTCCCCCTCTAGGAGCTTAGCCTAGGCTTTTCTTGTTTGTTTGTTTTTTTTAATGCGAACCCTTAATTTTATCCACCCCACAGCCCTGGTAGGGAGAGGAGGCAGTGTGAGCAACTGGGCTCAGGTGACTGCAAAGGTGTGCCGTCTCCCTTAAGCGACCTTCGTCTCTGCCATGGAATCGCTCCAGCCCAGGTCCTCCCCCCCCCCAAAGTGGAAGCCCCTCAACTGGGCCAGAAAGGCCCGGCTTGGGTCCAGATTGGACGCTGTCGTGTTGTGGCCAGGAAACAAGATGGCACAGGCCATTCCCCAGGCCGTCCAAATGGCAGTCTCGTCTCCCTGTGTGATCAGACCCTCAGGACTCTTCGGTAGCCTGAACGGGGCTTTGAATCTGGACCTCCCGGGTTTTTCCTCCAGCATTCTCACTGCTGTGCCAAAGGGGGTTCAAAGGCATTCCTGTTTTCCCATCCCTAGTAGCGTTTATCATGAGAAAGGTCATGCCCTCTGATTGCTCTGGAAGGCCGTGCAGTGCCCAGAGTCTTAGGTCAGGCGGCCCTTGGATTCTGCTTTCTGCGTAGGAGCCACTGAGCGATGGGGTTTTTGTATTATGCTGGTTCTGCCTCTGACAATGGGTTGTGGAACAAAGCACTGAATGTGCTTCATGACCCCACAAGGTGGCGGCTTTTAGCTGAAGCCAGAAAAACCCCGTTCTTCTGGCAGGGAATGGCCGTCCCATTTACTGAAGGGGAAGCCTCATCGGTGAACAGAGGTGGGGAGGAAGAACTAAATGCATGCATTAAGAATCCGCGTCTGTTCCTGGCGTCGTGGCTTTAGCTTCCTTCCACTTGTCCCTGCAGCGCTCGGAGTTCGTGTTGGTGCGCATGGAGACGATTGTGCACCTGCTGCTCCAGGTGAGCGACGCCTTGCGGTTCCTGCACTCGTGCGGCTTTGTCCACCGCACGCTCAGCTCCTACGCCGTGGTCATCGTTTTGGCCGGGGAGGCGAAGCTGACTAACCTGGAGTACATGATCGAAAGGTGAGGGGTGCTCCCCACCTCCCCGTGCATGGATCGAAAAAGCACAACACCTGTTGGGTGAGCAGCCGGAATTGCAAGTGTGTGCTTGCATTCTACACAGGCACCTGCCTGCTGGATGCGGTGTGCCTTTGTGCGCAGAGATAATGGGATCCCCTTCTGCACCTTTCTGGCCTCACTCCAAAAACATTCACTCGTTGCTACCAAGAATTGGGGGGGGGGCCCACTTGTCGACTTTGTGCGCAGAGATAATGGGATCCCCTTACTGCACCTTTCTGGCCTCACTCTAAAAACATTCACTCGTTGCTACCAACAATTGGGGGGGGGACCCACTTGTCGGTATTTTGCTCCCTGTTTTCCCAAAGTCTGTTTTCAGAGAGATGCTCCATAGCTTTCGCTAGCATTTAAATCTTGGATAACTGATAGCCTTTCTGGATTTTGGAGTCTCTCTTCACACATACACACACCCACTGAGAACCTTTCCCCCCTTTCTTCCGACAGCAAAGACGGGGGAGAGCACAGTGACCTGACGCGGGTGCCAATCCCTTCCCAGCTATACAACTGGTGTGCTCCTGAAGTCATCCTCGAGAAGGGGGCAACAGCCAGATCCGACATCTACAGCTTCTGTACCGTGATGCAGGAGGTCCTCACAGGTACGGGCAGATGGGAGAGGGAACATGCCAGGGGGGTTGGGAAGGCTTTTTAAAAAACGCCACCCCTTCCCAGCTTCTTGCCTTGTTCACCCATACTGTTCCTATCCATTCTTCCTGCTCCTGGCTGCGGCCTCTATCAGGAGGTGTCATCCCCCCCCCCAATAATATGATCTCTTGGCTACACAAATCTCCAAAGGAGCATCTACTTATTTGTTTGTTACAGTGGTGCCTCGCTAGACGATGATAATCCATTCCACTGAAATCGCTGTTTAGTGAAATCATTGTCTAGCGAAAAGCATTTCCCCATTGGAATGCATTGAAACCTGTTTAATGCATTCCAATGGGGAAGAATCGTCGTTGTCTAGCAAAGATCGGCCATAGGAAAGCCACTTTGTGAACCGTTGATCAGCTGTTTAACTCACTGTCTTGCGAAGCTTAGGTCCCAAAAACACCTGTTTTGCGAGTGGGGAGGAAGCTGTCAAAATTGTCGTCTAGTGAAAATCGGTTTGCGAAGCAGGGACCAAACATTGTCCAGCGAAATCCCCCCCATAGGAATCACTGCTTTGCAAATCGCTATAGCGATTGCAAAAAGTCAATGTCTATCGAAAAAACTGTCATGCGGGGGAACTGTCTAGCGAGGAACCACTGTAATTCTATAAACCTCATTGGTGCTGTTTTGATTTCTTGACTATTGACCACCAACCTCTCTGAGGTTGTTATTTGAGAGAGTGACGTTGCTTCTGCTATATTCTGCTTTCAGGTTTGTAAATAAATCCTATACAGCAGGATCCCTCCCCCCCCCCATATCCACAGGATCAGGAACCACTTATTCTCTTATCCATGGTCTGAAAATATTTAAAATCTTCAAAATATGTATTTCTAAAGGCAGAGTTGCCAGAACTGGCTACTAGAGGGAGCCAGAGACCATGTTATGTACAGCATTTGCTACTAAAGTAGTGTTTGCTGCCTTCTGCGTTTTTCAGCATCCGCGCTGGGGCTTGGAACCAATCCCCCGCAGATACACAGGCCCTCTGCGTTAACAAGCCTCCACAAGGCTCCAGTTCTCTCCTTTTTGAAAAAAGAGACCCAAACACTAGTAGTAGTATCTAAGAACTTCTTTCTAGGGAAGGAACAGGGTTGTTATTGGGGTCCTTCACCCCACTGGAAGTGCTGCTGAAGGCACTTTCCGGCCCAGATCCTTTCCTTTCTACCCCCTCCCCTCTGGTCTTTTTCTTTTTTTTGCGTGACCAACCCCGTTAAGAGTGTGCACTCAGGATGTTTGCTTTCCAGAGACCATTCCCTGGGACGGACTCGAAGGGTCTCGTGTGAAGGACCTCATCGTTTCCGGCCAGTGGTTGGAAGCCGATAGCAGGCTGCCCAAACTCTATTACGACATTGTGAAGACCGGCCTGGAGCCCAGACCAAAGCAACGCACCATGAATCTACAGGATATCCGCTACCTCTTGAAGACGGATTTCCAGGTGAACGAGAGCCCTTCAGTCCTCCTTCAGATCAGTTCATGAGTATCTCCGTTGTTTGCCTCTGGCTGCTGAGAGAGGATCTTGCCCTTCCTGATGATCAGCCAGGGGAAAACATCTGAGAGCTGTTGGTGGAACGGATGGTGTCTTGTTGTCCTCAGCTTCCCTGGGTCACGTCTCCTCCTGAGAGTATAATTTCTCTGCAGGGAGAAGGAGCGCTTGGGTGAAATCCTCTCCCCACCAACCACGCCCTAAACCGTGTGCTTCCTCCTCAAAGGATTTGGTGGGGACCCTCAGGAAGCGCCCCGGTGAGCATACCGGCTCCCCGAAAGAGGAAGCCCCTCCTGACATAAAGGTCTGCGTGCTGTCCGCCTCGGCGGTCTCGCGCCAGGAGCCGGACCGGCAAGACGACGAAGGTCTGTGTCCTGCTTTCTATGTTGAACCTGGGGGGGGGGCAGTCCCCTGGCAGATCAGGACAGTCCTGGACCGGGACGGTTGCTTTTCTGGGGAGGCTGGGAGTAGTTTCCACTAAGGGCTGAGGAAGGGCTAATTATTTTTTTACCCTGTGTGCCATGGCCTGGGTCAGTCTCCCTGCCGTAGTTGTTTTCTTGGGGAAAAAAAGTATCAAAATATGTAAAGATCATCCAGTACTTAATGCATTCTTAGTCCGGTTCTGACTAAAAGTTCACATCTTAATTATTTTGTGTGTATTTGGGGAGGGACCTACGTAAATGCTACAGGCCCCTGGCCTCTGGTACAGGGATACAATTTCCTCCCTTCCCCTTATCGCTCCTCCAGCTGTAACGGAGCTGGAGGACGTGGCAGGAGCCGTAGCAGGTGGCTGTTTTCCTCCACATTTAACGAGACCACACTTTCGTCATTATGAAAGTAATCAAAAGTTACACGGTGAAAAGAGGGAAGGTATCTCTTGTCTTGCAGCCGCAATGTGATATATCTGAGCTTTGGTCATAATCATGTTGCCGTCAAGTCAATTCTGACGTATGGTGACCCTTTTCAGGGTTTTCCAGGTAAAGAATACTTAGACGTGGTTTCCCATTCCCTTCTTCCGGGGACGCCCTGGGACTGTTGTGGAGCTTGCCCAAGGCTACCCAGGCTGGCTGTTCTCCTAGGAGGCACAGGAGTGGGGGAATCGGACTCCCAACCGCTGGCTCCGGAGACCTAAAGCACTGAGCTATCTAGCCAGCTTAAGCAATTGCACAAAAGAACTGAAAGGAATTAATTACAAACTACGTTATTTGTTACAAGTTACTTGCATCTTCTGACTAGATCTACTGCTCAGTATCCAGTAATACTGACTTCACTGGCGTGCCAGGGGTGATTTCAGCCATTGTGGGTTGGGGGTGGTGGGAGTTTAGAGTCAAGCGACACCCAGAGGGACCGAGGCTCCCCACCTGGGCCCCCCCAAAGGCATCTTGGTACCCAAGCATCCTCCTCCTCTGACTCGTGCCTGATTCCTCAGTCAGGAGCTTCACTGCCTCCAGGTATGCCGCTTCTCATTCCGAACCCAAAGCGCTCGCCACCCATCAGGCCGAGCCTTTCGTTCGCATGGCAGAGTCGATCCCACTTCTGGAAGCAGCTGACGAAGCCCAGGGCGACACCAGTGACACGAACGACAGCCTTTTCAGCTTTGAGATCAACGAAATCTACACCTGCTACCCAGAAATGGGCGGGGAGAGTGGAGAGGAGGAGGAAGCAGGAGAGGCCTGGAAGGAGGTGGCCGCGCCAGGTCACGGAGCCGAGGCCCGCAGGGAATCTCAAACCGCTCCGGGGGACAGAGCCCAAACCCCATCGCCGCAGCCCAGAGAAACCTGGAGCCAGCAGACAAACTGCTACGAGGAAGGTCTCTCCTCTGGCACTGAAGCAGAGTCCAGCAGGGAGGAGGTGAGCCACACACCCGAGGGCCACCTGACGGACCAGGAAGCGAGGGAGGCCGGCCACAGAGGCGGGATCGTCCAGACCTCCTTCGACCAGACCTACGGGAAGTGCGTCCTCGCGATGACCATCTGCCAGAAGAAAGTGCAGGAGGTGATCGACTCCCTCTGTAGGACGGAAAAGATGCTGGACAAGGCGGAGGCCAGGAGACGACTGCACCAGCCTCTCCTGGGGAGCCAGGAGGAGCAGCCTCGCCTCTCTGGTTCCCTCCGGGATCACTCGGTGAAGGTGGACGCCATCCTGAGAAATATCAGCGTGCCCTACAGTGGAGCCAGAGCCCGCCTGTGGAAGGCGGTCGGGCCCCCAACGCTGAACTACATCCCTCCACCGCTGCGCATCCCGGGCACCTACCAGCCTCTGGTTTTTCCTTCTTTCCAAGCCGCAGAAAACGAGAGCCAGAATAACAGCAGGAGCCGAGGCGTCCCGTACTGGAGCGATTGCAGGCCGGAAGCCCCCAGAAGCCCCCAAAACAGAGGCGCAGAGCCAAACTATCAGGTGAGGGTGAGAGAGAGAGAAAGGCCCTTTCTTAATTCACTGCGAGCCTTCGTAAGCTGTGGGTGGCTGTAAAGAGCCCAGTCTTGGTGCCCCCGTGAATCCGGTGTGGGAAGGGGAGCACCAGAACAGCAAACTCTTAATTACAGGCAGCTAATGAGAGGCAGCGGGATGCGACTTTGCCTTCTCCATAAAAAACGAGAAGGCTGCAGCCCCCAGTTGTATCATGGAGTTTACCTTTTCAGCTTTTGCACCCGGGCGTGTCCATCAGGAGGAGGAAGAGCCCCGCCACCCAGCCGCATCGAGGGAGCCCCACCGCAGACGAAGGGTGAGCGATCGATTCCCCAGCCGCGCCTGGAGAGAAAGGCAGATGTCGTTGGGAGCGGAAGCTCTCCTAGCTTAATTTGAGCTCAGTGGTAACGCTGGAGTCTTCGCCCCTGAAGAGGTGAGCTCTATCCAGAACTGCTGGATGTAGCTCAGTGGTTTCAGTCTCTGCCTGTGGAGCCAGAGGTTGAGAGTTTGATTCTCCCCCAGGCAGGGCCTCCTTGACAGGGGCCGGACTGGATGATCCCTGGGGTCCCTTCCAGCTCCGCCATTCAACAGCGATGATGATGTTATCTTAAAGAAGCAGAAAACGGTGACAGCCTGAAGGGCCGTGTCACGGCAACTTTGCTGAAACTAAGCTCACTTGAACCCTTTTGTTTCTTGATAAAGATGGCAGGTAGACAGAAAGTAGCCGGAGATGTTTTGGGTGCCAGCCATCAAGAAAGGCTCTCTGAACTTAGCTGGGACGGGCAGCACAGGACCTGCTGTGGCCCACACTAAGTTTGATGCTTCTAGATCTGCTTCAGCCTTCTGTTTTTCTCTATTCAAAAGAGAATTGCACAGTAGGGCCCTGGTATCCACAGGATCAATATGCACTGATTCACTTATTCATGATCGAAAATGTAAAAAAATACGGGGCCCTGGTATCCACAGGATCAATATGCAGTGATTCACTTATTCATGATCAAAAATGTAAAAAAATATTAAAATAAAAATTCCTGGAAATATATATATTTCTGTGAAGTTATGAGAACTGGCCACTAGAAGGAGCCAGAGACCATGCTACCATATGTACTGTATAGTGTTTGCTGTAATCCGTGTTTTCCAGCATCCACAAGGGGGGGGGGCTTGAACTGATGCCTGTGAATATGGGGGTCCTACGGTTTGCTGTAATCCGCGTTTTTCAGCATCCACAAGGGGGGGGGCTGGAACTGATGCCTGTGGATATGGGGGTCCTACTGTACTTCCCAGAGTCCTTCTTTAAGACAAGGTTCTGCTCCTTCCCATCCTGTGATTTCACAGAAAACAAAACGTTTATGAACCTAGGAGTGGGATTTCTCAGGGAGGGTGAGTTTCAGAAAGTAATACACCTGTGGCTCTCAGAGACTTCTAAACGGGCCCAGCCCTCGTCGACCTCGCCGTCAGAACTACAAGTGGCCATTTTGTTTCCGTTTTTTTCCTCCAGCCCTCTTTGTACAATGTTTGCCTCACAGGTTCTCTTCGAAGTCAGCGCCGGAAGTTTATGAGTCAGATTTGAGAAGCGAGGAAAGGAGGATGGTGCAGGCAGAATGGATGAGTGAGTACGGACGCGTGCGAGATCCTTTGTCCTGTTGGGGTTGTGACCTCACAGGGTTTGAAGACGGGTTGACGTGCGCACCCCACCGCCCTCTTCTTCCATATAGAGGAGGAGGGCATGATCTAGCCTTACCCTACTGTCTCCGTGTGCCAGCTCTGCCAGGTAGGTTAAAGTAAGCAGGAAAAACTGCCCAAGGCCACTCAAGTAGCTTCTGGGCTAGCCAGGATTTTAACTCACGTTTTCCCTGTCCGAAATGGTCATGGCCCACGCGAGTGGTGGCTATTAAGACCCCTGCTATGAAGAAAATGTTTCTGGATAGTATTCTTCATAACGGAACTCCTCCCCCTTAGGGCCCGGACATCCCAACATCATACATGCCCTACAAGGAGGGTGAGAACATCCCGGATAGATGATAGACAGCTGTCAGAAGACTCAGTCATTGAGTCTGACTTCTTATTATGTCACCTTCCTTGCGTGTTGTCCGGCCGGCCACCAGATGGCGGTGTAAGGCAAAGAATGGCAAGTTTGAAAAACACTCTGGATGCTTCCCAGCTGACTTGAAATAGATGTTGGGCAAGAGAACAACGGTCCAGGCGGGTGGCAGAAGAGGAAGCTGGAAAGGCCAAATCATATGTCCCGTTGCCTTCTGAGGAAAGGGTTTCACCTCTCCTTTGACCTGACTAATCGGGGTTAACCCGCTGGACCTAACTGTGCGTATTAAGCAAAGAATACCTTCCATACATTACAATCTAGGCCCTTTTCTGAGCTCCTCAAAGAAATCTCTCTGATGATTTTGTCCTCATCACATGACATTTCTTGCAGAAAGCACGCATGTTGCAACTTGGTTTGCTTGTCTGTTTCCTCTCAGTGGAAGTGAAGGACATGGCCAAGAAAACGGCTTCCGGTGAGCTTGGTTTCCCCCCTCCCACTGGATGGACCTCATCGGAGAGTGAAACAGAGGGCCCCCGAGAGACGTTCGAAAGCGCTGCCCGTGAGGAGCCCGGCTGGTCCTACCAGAGCGACTCTGAGGCAGGAAGGCCGCCGGATGGGGGCCAGATGCTGACCTGTGGCGATGAAGAACGGAGCGACCCAGGGACGGAGCCAACGAGGTTCTTGGGCCCCCTGCACCAGAGTAAGGGCCCAGGGTCAGGAACTGCTACGGCTGAGTGAGCGTCTCTGCCGCCGCCGCCGCCGGCTTGCTTTCTGCATTGGGCCAGGTGGCCTCACAGGAAGTGACCTTGTAAGCAAGGCCAGGTCAAACCGTGGGTCACCGATAGCACAGAATTCCTCATTGCTCCCTTTTCTGATCATCACACCTAAGAGCTTTTCCTCCCCTCAGGTCCTTTGTAAATCAGCTTGGTTTGTTTTGCAGCTGGCCTTCAGGTGCTAAACATGGGCTCAGCTCACCAGTCTGATTTCTCAAAATATAAAAATCTGCCTAGACCCCATCTCTGAAACAGGAGTGTGGCTTCAGCTCTAACGATGTGTGCAGTAGGGCTCCCGTGTCCCTGGAGGATTGGTTCCAAGCACGCACGCACACACATCCCCGACGGATGCTGAAAAGCACGTGAATAAGGGAGTCCTGCTATAGTCGGTTATGTCCTCCTTGCCCTTCAGACGGACCCTTGGGTCCCGCTTGCTCTGCAAGGATGGCACTGACGGGTAGGACCTCCTCAGTCTTCCCCAGCCCTTTCTGGAGAGGGTAGAAGCCGAACCCAGGACCTGCTGAGTGCAGCTTCCACTGTGTCACAGCTGTGTCACAACCGTAGAGAGTAAAGGATGTTAAAAAACAGGAGAATGAGGAGTGGGCCAGAGAGGATGACACGGGGCATGCACAAATTAAGAAAAAAATAAGAAAGTTCAGAGCTCTCCAGCTTAGGAAAAAAAAAGGCAACTGTAAAGTGGTTCCTCCGACCGCCATCAGGGGGAGGTTGGGCTCTGTTCCACAGACTCCTCAAGAAATTACCCAGCCCAGTGGGAGATCCTTGAAAATGGCAGAGAAAAAGAGACACACACACCCTTACACGGCGCTGCTGTATGATTCATTTTGGTAGTGGCTTTCCCGTTCTGTTCTCAGTGCCAAGAATTCGCTCCTTGTGGTCCCTTGTGTGGTGATAAGCATGTGGCAGATCACACCATCAAAAAATTGTAACTGATGTGGCACCTTTCCAGAAGAAAAACGTGTGCCGGGTTCCTACCCAGTTCTCACATAGGGCTTTTAATCGCCCCGCATTGCTGTGTCGCTTTCCTGCTGCCATCCGCTGACTTTTTTTAAAAAATATTCTGTCAGTTGGCCAGACTGTTGAGAAACAGCTATTTTTTCTCTGGATGCTAATTTTCACTGGTTCTCTGCCCCTCCTGGAGTCTTTACTCACGCTGGCCCTCGCATCTCACCCGATGTCATTTCTTGCATAGGCAAAAGCAGCCAGTTTCCAGCCGCTGAGACGCCAACCATGCGTGGCGTAACTTCACGCAAGAGCGTCTCCGTTTCTACCAGCACAGCTGAGGATCTGTGTAAGGTATATGTTGAAACCTCATGCGCCCAATTTTTAAAATTCTTATTTGCCTTGAGTGGGTATTTTCAGACGCCAGGGAGATTTCTGAGGTCTTGACAGTGAGCATGAGGGCTTCATGTCTGCTTATTGTATTTGCTGACCCTGTCAAGAAATGTAGTGTCCCGTGTGTCCCCCCCCCGAAATCTGCTTTATGAAATATGCTTATATGGTGTTTCATGAACATCGTGTCCTCAACTCAGTGGGAGTCCTGAATGTAGAAAACTACGTATGTCATCCTGCAGTTATAGATCTGTTATTCTAAGAGGGGCTTTTCTTATCCAGCTGAGGACATACTGGCCTGATTGAAAGAAAGGAGCGCGTGTCACTTGGCACAGAAGCGTTTCTCCACAGAAGAAATGGTTCTCCACCCCTCTCTGCCAGTTGCCACCTAGGGAGTCTCTGGCAGTGGCTCCCAGCCTTGAATCCCCAGATGGTCTTGGACTACAACTCCCAGAAGCCTTTGCCACCAGCTGTGCCGGTCAGGATTTCTGGGAGTTTTAGTCCAAGAACATCTGGGGGGATCCAAGGTGGGGAGCTGCTGGTCTGTGGTATAAAAATGTGACCTTCAGACCTGGTGGAATCCCTTCCTCT